TCTAAACGAGTAAATTTTGCATTGCAGTTAGAGCTCAGTACACCGGGAAGACAAAATGGGGGCGGGGAAATTTACTTCGTACTGGTGGCACCACTGTCCACAGTCTTCTGCAAGCGTGAGATATTCTGCGGTAACAACAGAGCATTCGAACGACGCGGTGTCTGAAATGCGACAACTAATTTAACTGTCGGTGAATCAAGTGCCTGAAAGTGACAGCTTTTCAACTCATTTCCCTACCAAAATTTTGTTTACTTTTCCTTTTTCTCCCGCCGTGAGTATTGCAGCTCATCGTCTCATCTCAGATGTCACGACCTCTCCACAACGCAACCACATACTTTGACCCAAATATTATCGTACAATCTGCGCCTTCGGTTTGTCTTTTTTCTTGTGTTCGGGGTTTATAAAATTTTCCGCTCCGGACACGTGCACGCGCTCCATCCGTTTCCTTAAAAAAACCCTCATAAAATAAAGACAAGAACGCCAAATTATAAGAACAGCCGAACCTCAGGAAATATACGGACTCGTAGATAACGCACGAAAAGACGCCCGCTTCCTCAAACTCGTGGAATTAACGTCCAAGAACTAACTTACAACGACGACTCTGAAATGCACACAGAAATCTTTATATTACAATGTCTAGTGCCCCTAAGTTTTGGTCAAATGCTTTTCCTTTCCTTGACATATTCCCCCTTTGAACAACCAAAAATTATCACGGCAGTCGACTTTACCACCAAAAGAGCGGTCCCGTTAAGCGATCCCGTTACGGGCCCACCGAATCACGTCTTCTACTGAACGCGGTCCCGTTGCGAGTCTTGTAAACCATATTCCATGTAAGCAATTTCCCGGAACTACTGCCCCGGAAATTGGCGTATAAAAACTTCCCTGTGCTCGAGATTAACAATTACGTTCCGGCAGACTCTGCTAATTACAGTGGTCAGTGGCGCCACCTCCTGTATCTTGCGAGTATCAGAGGAACCTGCGACGAAACACGGGTCGAAATGCGTCTCTGCCTGTGGCGGACGGCAATTAGGCAACTCGTACGCACATACCTCACGAAAACCGGAGACAGTTTGCAGTAAAGATTCGAACGCTGCCTGGAGAACTTTCAGGCCTACAACTGAAGTTTCTAGGATTCAATCGACGGGCACTGACGCCGCTGATAGCCATAAACCTTCAATCAGATACATTTCTTTTTCCAGGTGTGCAGGATCTTTCTTGCACCGATCACGGGACAGCACGTCACTGCATCCTGAGATCACATCGGAAGACGACGCCCACGGCGCTCGAGCCAAGTAAAGTGGAATGCGGAATTTTCTCTGGAATCCACACGTACGACGCAGACATTAACAGAAACTCCGCGCTGAACATTCTACAGGCAAAAGGACCAACCCGCGGAGACCACTTGCGAATCATCGAGTTACAAAACGTTTTCTGATATGAAACGACAGTTCTGTATGCGAAAACGTGCAATGCGCACGCAATTTACGCGTTTTCCATACATCCCGAAATTCACGAAACGACTTTCATTTTGAGCAGACGATTTCCAACTGAAACTTCAGCCACCAATGGCGTTCTCTCAGTATGTTCACATAATTCAATTACTGCAACACAATCGATATTATCAGAGGTGCTAGTGTGCCGAGCCCAGCCCAGTTCGAATTTGTTTTTGCTTGCAAATTTAACAGTTAGAATAACTGTTGTTAAAACTCGAACAAAGTCCTTCTTCAGAATGTTACAGAACGCTGAGTTACTCAAGAAACTCCGTTCAACGTATAAAACAACAGCCCGTCATCCATCCCTACCCTCATTAAGATTAATCCATTTCCTCAAGATCCATTTTGCCCTCCCAACGACAACTGGGTCTTCCAATTGGTCTTCATCAGTTGTAGTAGAATGACTTGTTTATTAACTTACTTGCCTCTTGGGAAAAACTCTAAATTTGTCGTACGTAATATCAAAGATTCGCACAGTCGCCATGTTTTCAGTTCTGCGCTTGAAAAGAATACTTAAACTGCATGATCTGTCCCCTTTATATACCTCACGTACTTAACCCCAGTGGTTCATTGGTTACCAAAGACTAAACAGGTTATATCCGCCATTTTGTTGTTCTGTATTAAAAAAAAAAAAGTTACGTTAATAGAAGAAGCGCATTTTTCGGATGCCCAATTTCAGAACCCCATAATGAGTGGCGCTGGCGTCACACGTAACAAGTTCGTGCGTGAGCCATCTTGGTTTTATCGATTGAACGAAATTAAAAATTACCGAGTTCGGGTTAGCGTCCAATTCCATTCTATCGACATCGTATCTCGTCAGAATTGATGCACAAAGTCAACCCTTCGTTACATAAATGCTACGATATTAAAAGAACTATCAATTTAACGTGCCTAATCCAGAAGTTACGTGAAACGGCAGTTTTTGTTTCCCTCTGGAGGGTTTTTCACCAACTACTAGATTCTGCAATGTTTCTTAAACCACAGAGGATACTTCATCCTGGTCTGAATACAAATTCTGGTAAGTCTGCACGTCTAAAGAAGTCTGTCGGGGCGTAGCACAATAGAAACCTCTTGTTTCGATTCCTGTTCAACATTCGTCTTTGATGCATCGCCCCACACACACACAGCCACGTCGGATCTTCTACTAAAAGAACGGCGTGGGTCACAAGAGAATAAAACACCAAAGCCTCGGCACGTTCATGAACGCACTGGACTTCGTATCTCTTCTAGGTCGACAATTACGTCATAATCGGTTCACGAAATACGCAAAATAACTTCAAGTTCGATCAGGAGGCCGCGGTATCGAACAACAGAGCGACCTTCAGAACCATGCAGAGCCAAGAGGACATTCGTTAAGCGGTCGCAATAACCAAGGGATTGCTTCAGCGCAGTTTATTTAAGGACAGCAAAGGACGAGAAAGGGGGTTACAAAGACACGGGAACTTTCGGTGGTTATTTTGCCGCTATATTTATACTAGCCCGCAAGGCGCAAGCACGTCGAAAGGGAAAGGCAGACGACGGCGAAATAACTTTCCCATTTCCGACCGACGGCTTCCGAGGTACCGAGCCCCTTGACATGTTTCAAACCGAGGGACCTGAAGACGGTGGAATTGTACCAAATCTGGCCGCCTTTCGCCAGCAACGAACGGAACGGCAAACACTTCTTTCAATTTGAAATTCGCATGTGCGAGGCATTCAAACTTCTGCTTCGAGAATCAATGACCAATCTGAAGAACAAAGACGGAGCTCTTATAATGGAACCGAAAATGAAATTCGCCCCAGAAACCTTCAACGCCCGCGTCAGAGGATCGCCAAGGGCTCCCGCTGCATCTGGTTCACCCTGTCAATTCCGTTGTCTTGGTAACGAAAACTACTCACCTGTGTCTCTGGCCAATCAATATCGCGAGCAAGCTGTGACGCACGACCCATCTTCCAAGGTCACGCGACATGCCACGTGGCGAAGAACGGCCCACGTGACCTCACGTCAACCCTGACCTCTCTTCAAATCACTTGCTTGTCTTTCTGCGAGTTCATTTTACTAAAAATAACTTCTATTTCTGTCTAATGGACATCAGAGGATATAAATTAATTCGTCTCATCGACGTTCCACTGTCTTGTTCGCTCCATTAATGCCTTTCTTAACTAAACGTTGCTATAAGATAGGGGCAGGGGCCGATTTTAAAAAAATATTTTTTTTTCAACTGTCGGATGCAACGTCAAAATCCAGGGGCAGAAGGGCCAGACCACGTGATAATGAAACCCGAGTCGCGTGGATCAATTGAATGCGCTCATCTTTGTGTGTACTGACACAACATTCGATTCTAAGTTGAAGTCAAGACCAGCGCTTCTAACGCCTCTGACAGTGAGCATCTCTAACGAAAGCCGAGGCGGTCACGGAGACATCCCTATCTGTAAGCTGCTAGTCGCTCAACTGGTCCACACACAACCCACCACTGCATTATTGCACCGCGGGCGTGCCACAGAACTCCACTGTCTTTATTAACCCACTCGCAATGCCAGGTCCCATCAGAAGATGGCCACACGCTCAGCTGGTCAACAAATTACCCGCCTTTCATGGAAACAAAACTTTTATTACAGTGCTGACAACATCCGATGCACCCCTACACACTACTTCCCTAAGGTCCATTAATATTATCTTTGCATCTATGCCTACGTCGTCTGAGTGGCGTCTTTGACTTCATCGTCTTAATGTTATCACCCTAATAACAACAACAGACACTGCAGCTATTGAGCTCCTCATTACGCACATTCCTCGAGCCACCCGCGACTTCATCCCTCTCCGTCCTCGGAGTGCGTCACGCTTTTATCTGGACCACTCCAGGTCTTCCTCAAGCGCGCCCACCCACATCATCGTCCTTCTTGATTCGACGGTCCTAACAATATTTGGAAAAGCGTACAAATTAGGCCCAGGCGATTTCTTCTGCCCTCCCGTCACTTAACCGGATTCTTATCAAAAACTTTGTGATTTGCGTCTTTTTAATTTCTTCAAAAGATCTATGCTCGTGTACTAACATCTAAACTGTTTGCATTACTGATTCCCAAAGAACTCCCGCCGCCCACTTAAAATACTGAGGTGATCTGCCAAGTTATTAACGACCGCGTACAGACTTATAATATTTCGTTCAAGCTCAGTAACGTCGTCTTTCAGATATTCAATAAACATCGAAGACAGCAATCTTCAATCAATTCTTGGGCCTCAAAATTCTATTAGCTTCATGTCTTACATTTTCCGTATTATCCAGATTAATTTGGCTTTCGTTCTGCCAGCAACGGACAAAATACATCAATATTTTTTTACAATCCCCTCTCTGGCTCACATCTTGACATTCTCCGCATTTTGCCGAGGCCCTGCGGATGTCCACACACAAGTCCATCAAATCTCAGATTTCGTCCTCAATTTCTGCACGGACCATCGGAACAATTTCATCGCACCAACAGCACGCAAAGGCGACAATATTAATAAGACGGCGAAAACAGTGCTCTTACCTTCGAAGAAGAAGTCGGTGTCCAGGGCGAGAGAAACAGCGAAAACCTGCAAACCAAAGAAAACCACGTTACGGCGTTTGCACACGCGAACTTTACTGGTTCTGGGCCGCGCTGCAAGCACATTGCACGGCTGACGGCCATCTGATTCCAATCCGCCGACCTCCCTCAACTGGACCAGACACATTTACGAGTACACAAACATTATTTCGGGTTTGCAAAGGCTGCATCCGTCTACGTCAGGTTCGATCTTAAAAACTCAGAAGTTGCCAACGGCTGACAGCTTATAACACGAGAATCCTCGCCGTGCTCATCCACCCTGATTCCTTCTACGGGCACGAAGTACAGTCCGCGACTGTAATCTTGAGACTTGCGGGGTGAAGGAGGAAGCCTTTAACGCTACGGACTTCCTGCATTCCTTGCAAGTCTCAAGATTACAGTCGTGGACTATACGCTTCACGTGGTGGTCGTCGTCAGCCCAGCTCCGACAAAACCACAACGTCCTTGCTGCTTTAATAACATCGCGAAGCTGCTGTTGGTTACAGCGCCTCAGGTTGGGAACCATTTACCAGCCAAGATAAAGATGGACGGATTCTGGGTCGTTAGCCAGCGGTCGGTGCACCAAATGGAGCAAACCACGTGATGATCTTTATTATTTGTAAAAACGTTTGCAACACAAGTTACGTAACAAATTCGTGCTGAAATACGACTCCCTAAATTTTCTACGATACTAGGCACAGTGTACGTTAAATATTAAATTTTGACAGAAATTTATCTGAAACTTTGTTAAATAGATTTGTTCTGCAGGGCGACGTGGAACTATGTACGTTCTTTTCCGAGGGTGGTGCTGCATGCCCCAACCCAAGGAAACGTTTCATTTCGAAACACGAAGATGTCCACATTAAGAAGCTCACACCGGGACACTAGTTTAAGACGGCTCAGTAAGTTCCACTGATCTGTCAAAAAAGCTATGACGGCGAGGATGGCCACGTAATACTGGAAAGTTCCAAGAAACGAAACTTTCTCCCAGGGGATGAGACGCGAAGAAGCGGCCATCGTGAAAATTTCCCTCAACCTCCGTAACCTGCCGTGGTCGGCTGATGTAACGTAAATGCTCAATACACTCCCCCAACCCCCAGGGGAATAGATTCTGTCTTAGGCAAATAAGAATTGGCCTCATCCACGGACTAAATTAGATCCGCGTTCCACAAACGTCACGTCGCCCACCCACGGCTCACCCTGATTCATCAGACACATCACATAACAAAAAATTCCTCTCCTTCTTGTGGCTCTACAGCCCGAAGTCGAGCCTTGGCCGCCACCTTTCGGAGGTTTCTTAGTCTTTGAAGCGTGCATTTACCAGCAGTGAGTGACCAGGCCACAGCCTCTGCACAGTTTCTACTCAATCCTGGTTTTTGTCTGCCAGAGCCATCTAGTTGAGAATCAGGAGACCCTTGGGTGAGAAATGGCCGATGAATTTTGCTTACGAAACATCTCGTTCATGCTCGTAAGATTCTTTTACATGCCGTAAATCTACGAAGTGGGACCGCCGGCTTCAATTCTCCTCCGAAGGGGCTACAAAATTACACGTGATTACAAATATGCATCTGCATATAAATACATGGACCATACAATGCAGTGGGAATATAATAAGACTGAACCACACTTTCAGTTACCTCAATATATCCTTCAGCGCCTTCGACGAATCTTCGTGCGAGCTTACGGCATCCGTACGGCCGTGTAATTTTAAGCTCCGTGTGCCGTAT